GCCTAGGTCACCCTGCGCTCCCGCGTCTGCGTCACATGTCCCAGCACGGTCTTGTCCTTGGTCTCCCAGGTTCACTCCCCGCGTTTCCCTCCTCCCCAGCCCCACCTTGCACGCCTTGTGTTGAGGGTCGGCTTCGCCGTGCCCCGCACTCCTCCTCGTTTCCCCCTACCGCCGCGCCGCTGCAGACCCTGCACCTGGACGTCTGGGGCCCCGTGGTGTGAAGGCATTTGCCCTATGGTGTTGAGCCACCCCCAGCACGAGCAAGGGGGAGTGATAAATGTGTAGTGTTCTGTGGTGTGATTTGCTCTAGCTGGCTGTGGGCTATTGGGATTTGGGCAAAAGAATTGGATTGGTTGGCTAGGTTTGATCTCGTTACCTTTCCAACCCATACTACCCCATACCCACTACAACATCTTTGATGTTGCAGCTGTGGCACTTGGGAGTGTTAGGGTTTGGTTCAGGGCGAGGGTTGGTGTTGTTTGACAATCAAATACCCCAACTTTTCCAGATCGAACTGCTTCCCTTCTCGTTTTTACTAGGTGATTCATGGCTGCCTAGCCAAATTACCAGAAGACCCCCTCACACTGATTTCGTCATAATCGGCAGCTCAGATCTTGGTTATGAACGTGCTTTACCATTCTGGAAAGTAGAGATTAAGACCTTTCGAACGCGTATAAGCTCATTTCTAGAAGTTACCTGAGCAGTACGCAATGATTCGTTGAGGTCGTCAGACTTAATCTCTAATTGGTTCTCTCCAGATTTGCACGATTTCCATCAGTGGTATCAGAGCCACGGTTAGAGGACGTTCTTTCCTCCATTGGAAGAGATCTAGAGAGGCTTGAAGTGCTCCAGATCTAGGGTTTGACATGGCCCAAAAGTTGGATGGCCCTCCTAGGTTTACCGGCTCGGACTTTTCGCTATGGAGGTTCCAGTTCACACTATGGCTAGGTATTAAGGACCTAGAAAGTGTTTTGGATGGATCGGAGAAGCGACCACGAGCTGACTCTGGGGAGGCGTCTACTGGAGCAACCAGCCAAGTGGGATCCAGAGCTGGGGGAGCGTCGTTGAGTGGGGTGAAGGAAGGAGGAACTGCTGCAACCCGAACCGGAAGGTCGCAACCAAGTAGCGAGGAGTTGCTCAAAGCTCAAGAAGCATGGGATCGGAAGGATCGCCAGGCTTTTCAGTACCTGTGTTGGGCTTTGGAGGGGCAACTTGAGCTTCTTAAGATGCTGATTGACCTGAAGGGGAAGGAAGGTGCAGCGGCTGCAGCTTGGAAAAGAGTACAAGATAGGCACTTGCAGAAAGGGCTTCTAAGCGTGCTTACTTGGCGGAAGCGGTTTTACACCATGGAGCGGAACTATGGGGAGGGGGAGACCATGGTTCAGTATCTCCAGAGGGTGGATGAGAATGTGCGGGCTTTGGAGGAGCTGGATTACACGGTAGATGAGAAGGAGATCATCTATACTGCGCTCCAAGGGTTGGATCAAGCGGCTAATGAGGCATTACTACAGTACCTTCACCTCGAGCAACAGAAATGGACCAAGGTGTGGATTTGGGAGGTTCTAATTTCTGATGAGGCTCGCAAGGTTGATGCTGGAAGAGGTCTAGAAGGAGGCATGGGTGCAGCAGATAAAGCTTCCTTCAGGAAAGGCTATCAACAGCAAGGAGGTGGGGGGAAGAAGAAAGAGTTGGACAAATGCCTTGTGTCCGGATGCAACAAAAAACACTCTTGGAAGAGTTGCTGGAGTAGGCCTGAGGGATGGAAGCCTCACGGCTACTCTGGAGAGGCCCCACCAGTGACCAAACCTGATTGGGTGGAGAAAAGGATGAAGAAGGGGCTCTGGAATAAGAAGGGCAGCAAGGGAGCAACGGCCGCAGCTGCTAAGGATGAGAAGGGGAAGGGCCAAGACGACTCCTCCGATGATGGTTTCTCGTTTCTCATGCTAGGGCAGGATGCAGCTCTCGCTGGTCGTGCATTGGCTGATCCCAACTTCCTGGTTCTAGACTCTGGAGCAACATCTGGGATGCTTCCTCGCCGTGATCTCTTCACCTCCTACCATCCTCTCCCACCAAATTCGAGGAACGTGATTGTTGGGAGCGGAGATTTGCTGCAAGCAATTGGCATCGGCACGATCACCATTAAGGGGAAGGAGGGGGAGCTAGTGGGTGTGAAGGGGGTCCTTCACGTCCCTGGTTTGGCTGCAAACCTCCTTTCATGCTCGCAACTGGCTAAACAGGGATACATCTGCACTTTCACGGAGGGAGGGTGTACTGTTAGAAAGGGTGAAGCTGTGGTGATGGAGGCAAAGCTGGACAAGGGTTTATACCTTGTTCCAGCTTGTGTGCCTATTTGTTACAAGGCACATATGGTTTTTTCTGAGGAAGCCGCTTGTAGCACTCGCTGGAGGCAGGTGGAAACGGTGTCACCTGAGTTGCTACACCTTCGCATGGGGCACGCGGGGAAGCAGCAACTGCTGGAGTGTGTGAAGAAGGGGGAGCTGAAGGGGGTGGAGGTCAAGAAAGGAGCTGGGCAGCAGAGCAAATGTCCCGACTGCACGTCTGGAAAGCTGCCTAGAACCTCATTCCCTATCTCCTCTGATCATGCCTCGACTCCCCTTGAGCTGGTGCACACGGATGTGTGTGGACCGATGCAAACTCCTGACCGGGAAAGGGGCAGCAGGTACTTTGTCACCTTTCTTGATGACTTCAGTCGACTTAGCTGGGTCACCTTGGTGAAGACCAAGGATGAGGTGGCAAAGGTGTTTAAGCGGTGGATACGCTATGTGGAGAGGGAATCAGGGGCCAAGGTAAAGGTGTTAAGGTCAGATCGGGGTGGAGAGTACCTTGGGAAAGAACTTCAAACCTTCTTGGAAGAAAAGGGTATTACCCACCAGCTCTCTGTACCTTACACGCCGCAGCAAAATGGGGCAGCGGAGCGGCTTAACAGGACCTTGACCGATTTGGCTCGGGCCATCCTTTCCCATGCCGAGCTTGATAACACTTGGTGGGGGGCAGCAGTGCAGTATGCCAACTGGGTGAAGAACAGGATGGGCAGCAAGGGGCTTGGAGGCAAGAGCCCATACTCCTTATGGACAGGGAAGGTGCCGAATGTTTCCATGGCACGAGTGTGGGGGTGCATGGCACAGTATAAGGTACCTGACCAGCAAAGAAGGAAGCTAGATCCTAAGGCACAGTGGGGGATCTTCCTTGGGGTTTCTGAGAGGAGCAAGGCTTGGGTGCTGTGGAGTGTAGCTGACCAGCGTGTGATGGAGAGCCGTGATGTGGTTTTCCATGAGGGGCTGAATTTTAAGGGGTGGAAGGAGCATGGTACAAGCCAAAGTGGGACTTCCATTCAAGACCCTCATACGGCTTCTATCTTTGAGGGGGCATGGGAGGACCCTGGAGATGAAGGGGAGGAGCAGCAGGAGGAGCCAGAACCAGCTGATCCTAACCATGAGGAGTCCCGAGAGACAGATTCTACCCCTCAGCCAGCCACGCAGGCCGATGCGCGTGATGATCAGCCGGAGCAGCATGTGCCTTCAACTCCATCGAGAAGCAGTTGGCAGCAGTTGTTGGACCAGCAGCTGTCCAAGACTCCGAGGACTCCAATGAAGAGGGTGACTTGGGAGGAGAAGCTGCGGAGGCTGGAAGAAGGAGAGGCAACACCTCTGCGACGCAGTGCTCGAATTTCCCAGCCACCTGAAAGGTTTACCCCGGGGCACATTGCACGCATGCATGATCATCTTGTGTCTGATTTGGATGATTGCATGCTTGTGGACATGCATGGGCATGAGTATGCTCTTGATGTGTGTCTAATGGGTTAGGTGCATGAGCCTAGGTCAGTCCACGAGGCGCTGAACCGTCCAGAATGGGTTGAGTCCATGCATGAGGAGCTTGAGTCTCACAAGGTAAATGGATCATTTGAGCTGGTTGATCCAGCAGTGGTACCACCTGGTTTGGAGGTCCTCAGGTGTCAATGGGTTTGGAAATACAAGCATAACCCTGATGGTACTGTTGAGAGGCCTAAGTCCAGATTGGTGGTGATGGGAAACACGCAGAAATTGGGAGTACACTATGAAGAAGTGTACTCTCCAGTTGGGAAGCATGCGACCTTGAGAGGTATGCTTGGAATTTCAACTGCTTTGGGGCTTGATATCCATCATATGGATGTCAAGACAGCCTTCCTCCATGGGGATTTGGAGGAAGAGCTTTACATGCGGCAGCCCCCTGGTTTTGATGATGGGTCTCACCGAGTGTGTCGCCTAAAAAATTCCATTTATGGGCTAAAGCAAGCCCCACGACAGTGGTACCTAAAATTTGATGAGGCTCTCATGGATTTTGGGTTTGAGAGATCTGAGTGTGACCCTGCCTTGTACCACTTTGTGAGAGATGAGGAGCGGATCTCCTTATTCCTCTATGTGGATGACCTTTTGCTCCTATGCTCTAGCAAGGCTTTGCTAGATCGAGTGAAAGAGTTCTTGTCCTCGCGTTTTCGCATGAAGGACTTGGGGGAGGTGAAGTACTACTTGGGAATGCAAATTGAGCGTGATGAGAGTGGTATCTTGATTCATCAAGAGAGGTACATTCTTAACATGCTTCAGTCCTTTGGTCTCTCAGAGGCCAACCCCGTGCGTACTCCTCTCCCAACAGGCTTTGATGTGCATGCCTATGAGGATGAACCCTTGCTGCGAGATGAGCTGGTCAAGCTCTACCAAAGCATTGTGGGATCCCTCATGTATGCTTGTACTACCACACAGCCACAGATTGCCTTTGCAGTCTCACAGCTATCTAAGGTCGCCTCTTGTCCTAAAATGTTTCACTTGCAGGCCGCTAAGAGAGTGCTGAGGTACCTGAAAGGTGGTGTCAAGTCAGGTATCTTCTTCCAAACACAGCCCCAGTCTCAGGTCCAGCTAGTTGGCTTCAGTGATGCTGACTATGCTGGAGATTCCGCAAGTCGCAGGAGCCACAGTGGGTATGTGTTCTGTCTGAATGGGGCAGCTATCTCTTGGCAGAGCAAGAGGCAGCCCGTGGTAGCACTCTCTACCACTGAGAGTGAGTATATAAGTCTGTGTCAGTGCATTCAGGAGGGTGTCTGGCTAAGGCGTTTGTTTGGGGAGTTTGGCCATGATCATGCTGGTGGTGTGCCTGTGTTTGTGGATAATCAGTCTGCCATTGCCCTTGCACAGAATGCATGCTTGCATGGCCGCACCAAACACATGCAGGTCCGGTGGCATTTCATTCGGGAGATGGTAGCTGCGGGTGAGGTGATTTTGCAGTGGTGCCCTACCAACCGTCAGGCTGCTGATATTCTTACCAAGTCTCTTCCATTTGAGCATCATGGTGTGTGCATGACCTTGCTCGGGATGCAGCCCCATGATGACAGAGTTCCCGCAGCAGATGCCGGCGTCTTGGTGCTCCTCTCCTTGGCGGACTCCATGCTCTGGGTGGCCCCAACCCATGGGCAAGGGGGAGTGGTGTGAAGGCATTTGCCCTATGGTGTTGAGCCACACCCAGCACGAGCAAGGGGGAGTGATAAATGTGTAGTGTTCTGTGGTGTGATTTGCTCTAGCTGGCTGTGGGCTATTGGGATTTGGGCAAAAGAATTGGGTTGGTTGGCTAGGTTTGATCTCGTTACCTTTCCAACCCATACTACCCCATACCCACTACAACATCTTTGATGTTGCAGCTGTGGCACTTGGGAGTGTTAGGGTTTGGTTCAGGGCGAGGGTTGGTGTTGTTTGACAATCAAATACCCCAACTTTTCCAGATCGAACTGCTTCCCTTCTCGTTTTTACTAGGTGATTCATGGCTGCCTAGCCAAATTACCAGAAGACCCCCTCACACTGATTTCGTCATAATCGGTGGCTCAGATCTTGGTTATGAACGTGCTTTACCATTCTGGAAAGTAGAGATTAAGACCTTTCCAACGCGTATAAGCTCATTTCTAGAAGTTACCTGAGCAGCACGCAATGATTCGTTGAGGTCGTCAGACTTAATCTCTAATTAGTTCTCTCCAGATTTGCACGATTTCCATCACCCCGCCCCCGTCCCTGGGCCGCGTCGAGAGCGCTACTTCCTTGTGCTTGTCGACGACTTCACTCGTTACACCACAGTCTTTCCCTTGGAGCGCAAGGCCGACGTGCCTGGCGCTCTCATCCCCTGGCTTGTCTCTGCGCGTGTCCACTGCGGTCTCCCTGTCTTGCGTCTTCACTCCGACCGTGGTGGCGAGTTTGCCTCAGGTGTCCTTGGTCGCTTTTGTCGTGCGGAGGGCATCACCCAGACGTTCACCCTACCGGACTCCCCACAGCAGAATGGGGTCGCTGAGCCACGCATCGGTTTGGTCATGGAGGTGGCTCGCACCTCCATGATCCATGCCGGTGCACCCCATTTTCTGTGGCCGTTCGCTGTGCGCTACGCTTCTCACCAGCTTAACTTGTGGCCGCACCCTCAGCAGCCGCAGGTTTCGCCGACTCGTCTTTGGACTGGGTCTCCTGGTGACGCGTCTGCGTTCCACGTCTGGGGCTGCCTTGCTCACGTCCGTGCCTCCGGCATGGACAAGCTCACTGCCCGCACCCTTCCCTGCGTCTTCCTTGGTTTTCCCCTTGACGCGTCCGACTGGCACTTTTACCACCCGCCGTCTCACCGCTTCTTTCACTCTCGTGACATCACCTTTGACGAGTCCGTCTCCTACTACCGTCGCTTCCCCCACCGTGGTCCCCCGGTTTCCCCCCCCCTGTTCCTGGTCACTCCTTCCCCGGTAGTCCCTGCCCCTCCTCCTCCTCCTCCCCGTCCCGCCCCCTCTGGTGTGTCCCACGTCACCCCCCTTCCGTCGGTGGACCCGGTTGAGGAGTCTTCTGACTCTGGTGGCCCTCCTGTTCAGTCCTCGCCGGCCGCCCCTCCCCTAGCGTCCCTTCCCCTGTCCCCCCCTCCACCGCCTCTGCCGCCGCTGCAGCCGTCGTTGTCGCTGCCGCCGCCGCCGCCGTCGCAGCACCCGTTCGTTGACTCTGGGGGTGCTCGTCTCGGTAGCCCTGGGGGTGGTCCCTCTGGGGGTGCTGGTGTGGAGAGTGCCGGTGGTAGCCGAGGAGCAGCTTGCAGTCCCGGTGTCGCCGTTGTGCCGCCGCAGCAGCAGTCCCCGCCGGTGTCAGCCCTTCGCCTGCTCGGCCTTCCGTCCCCTGACCCTGCGTCGGTTCCTCCCCGCCCGTCTCCTCCTCTTCCTGTCTACGGCCCTGTCTTCCCTCCGCCGGACTCGTCCCCGGCCCGTCTCCCCCCTCGTTCCCCTCCTGTGTCCCCTCCTCTGTCTCCTGACCCGACTCCTCCGTCGCACGTCTGGTCTCACCGTCCCTCCCGCGCTCGTCCTGCCTCGCCTGTCTTGCGCTCCCACCCTATGTTGCTTCGTTCCCACGCGTCCCGTCCTCCCCTTCTCCCGTCGCCTCCTCCGTCCTCCCTTGTTGTTGCACCCCCCCCGCTGTCTGACTACCTTCATGCCGCTCGTCCCCTTGTTCCTCGGTCCTTGCCTCTCTCGTTACCGACTCGTCTGTTCCGACCTCGTGCCTTGACGCTCTTGTCGCTGCTGTCGCTGACTTTGCCTCTACCCGCCGCCTTGACTACGCCTCCGCTCTGGTCTCTGACCTTGCCTGTCCTCCATCTGTCGGGGGTGCTCCTGCCCTTGGCAGTGACGTCCTGGAGGACCGCCAGTTCGAGCTTGCTTTCCTCTCCGAGGCTGCTCCCCATCTCTGTTCCATGCTGCTAGTCCCTGAGGGTGACCCAGACGCTTTCGACATCCCGACCCCTCGCACTTACGCTGAGGCGACTTCGGGACCCTGGGCCTCGCAGTGGATAGCTGCCATGGAGCAGGAGATGGCATCTTGGAGATCCACCGGCACCTTCGTCGACGCAGTTCCCCCACCTGGGGTGAACGTAGTCGATGGCCGCTGGCTCTTCAAGGTGAAGCGCCCTCCTGGAGAGCCGCCTGTCTTCAAGGCGCGCTATGTGGCTAGAGGCTTCAGTCAGCGCGAGGGGGTGGACTTCTTCCAGACCTTCGCTTCGACCCCGAAGATGACTACTCTTCGGGTTCTGTTACACGTAGATGCTCAGCGTGACTACGAGCTTCACTCCCTCGACTTCTCCACTGCCTTCCTTCAGGGCAGCCTACACGAGCAGGTCTACCTGCGGCGCCCTCAGGGCTTCACTGGCACCTTCCCTCCTGGGACCCAGTGGCTCCTACGGCGCCCTGTCTACGGCCTGCGCCAGGCTCCCCGTGAGTGGCACGACACTCTCCGTGCTACGCTTGCTGACCTGCAGTTCTTTCCGTCTTCCGCAGACCCTTCACTCTTCGTTCGTGCTGGCCAGACTCTGTTCTACATCCTTGTTTACGTCGACGACCTGGTCTTTGCCACAGCTGACAGGGACGCACTGGCCTCCGTGAAGGCAGAGCTGCTGAAGAGACACACGTGCACTGACCTTGGAGAACTGCGCCGTTACCTTGGCTTGCAGATCTCCAGGGACAGAGCAGCGCGCACCATCACCCTGACTCAGTCACACTTGGTGCGCCAGGTCCTTCAGAGGTTCAGCCTTCAGTTCTCCTCTGCACAGCCCACCCCTCTGCCTGTAGACCACAGACTCTCCGCTCCAGTGTCTGAGGAGTTGGTAGAGCCCAGCGGCCCCTACGCAGAGCTGGTGGGTTGCCTCATGTACCTGATGACTTGCACTCGCCCAGATCTCGCATACCCTCTCAGCATCCTGGCTCGCTTTGTGGCCACAGGCAGACACCGACCGCAGCACTGGTCTGCCGCTAAGAGGGTTCTGCGGTATCTTGCTAGTACATCGGGCATGGGGTTAGTGCTAGGAGGACGCAGGCCAGTGGTCCTTACTGGACACACAGACGCTTCGTGGGCAGACGACGCTGAGACACTCAGGTCTACCCAGGGCTACTGCTTTAGCCTTTGCTCAGGTGCCGTCTCGTGGAGAGCTACCCGCTCCTCGTCTGTTGCCCAGTCCAGCTGTGAGGCTGAGATCTACGCTGGTGCCATGGCGGCACAGGAGCTCCGCTGGCTGACCTTCTTGCTCACTGACTTAGGTGAGCGGCCTAGCTCTGCCCCGGTCCTGTTCGCTGACAACAGGGCCATGATCCTCCTCTGTCAGGAGCCTCGACTCGAGGGCAGAGCAAAGCACATTCAGCTGCGGTACTTCCTCCTGCGTGAGCTACAGCAGCGACGTCAGGCTCGCGTAGTACACTTGGCCTCAGGTGCCAACACGGCTGATATCTTTACGAAGGCGCTTGCGCCTAAAGATCATCAGCGGCACTGTGTACAGCTTGGTCTAGTTCCTGTAGCCTCTCACTTGCTAGGACCTTGACTTTGTACTGTCCTTTATATGTATACTCAGACTGGACTTGTGTCCTCTCTCAGTGGCTGGACTAGTTCTGCCGCCCTGCTCTTGTTCTTGCCTTGTTTGTACTCCTTCTGACTGGTCTCTCAGACCCTTGTCCCAGAGGTTGGACTAGTAGTGCCGCCCTGAGCTGTTTGTTTAGGGCATTCCCCTATGCAGTCTAGGGGGTGTGTCAAACATGTGTATTTGTCATGTTTGTATAGACTGTATAGGGTCGCCTCTTAGAGAGTACAACACTTAGGTATATCTGTGTGTACTCTCACTCTATCTATCATTCACTTCTCAATTTTGATAAGTGCGCCCATAGCAGGCCTCAAATTTGAAGGGTGTTTCACCTGATTGCCCTTGCCAGCGGCCGCTTTTTCAGGATCACCCTGATTTTGTAAGGGCATTTTTTTCGTGACCCTTAGTACAAAAGTATTAGATTGTTTTTACCCCGCTGCAGTAAGAGTACTTCTAGTTCTACACTGACCAGACAGGGTATCGCCGAAATCACACTGAAACAGAAGAACGGCCCGCATATTCGACAAGTTTCTGTGTCTAGCTGGCGTCGCACCGCATGTGTGATTTTGCCCCTCACACCTGCTCCAGCTTGTGTCGAACTGCATCTTTGATTTTGTCGAACTGCATCTTTGATTTTGTCGAAGGGCCAGTCAGTCCCCTTACACCTGCTCCGGCTCGCGTCGGACTGCATGCGTGATTTTGGCTAAGGGCCAGTCACGCCTCTCACACCTGCTCCAGCGCGCCTCGGACTACAGAATGTGCGTCATTTTGGTAAAGGGGCAGTTATGCATGGTACATGGGTTGTGCAACTAATCGAGGTTGTGCAATCCTGTCTGGTTACCAAGGGCGAGAGTGAAAGAAACGGTGAGACGGCGGATGGTAGAAGTGTCAATCAGACGAGTCGAGGGGGAAACCAAGGAAGACACAGGGGACGGTGCGGGCAGTGAGCTTGTCCATGCTAGAGGCACGAACGTGAGCAAGGCAGCCCCAGACGTGGAACGCAGACGCGTCACCAGGAGACCCGGTCCAAAGAAGGGTCAACGAAACCTGCGGCTGCTTGGGGTGGGGCCACAGGTTAAGCTGGTGAGCGGCGTAGCGAACCGCGAAAGGCCACAAAAAATGGGGTGCACCGGCATGGATCATGGAGGTACAAGCCACCTCCATGACCAAACCAATGCATCGCTCAGTGACCCCATTCTGCTGCGGGGAGTCCGGCAGGGTGAACGTCTTGGTGATGCCCTCCGCACGACAAAAACTAGTAAGGACGCCGGAGGCAAACTCACCACCACGGTCGGAGTGGAGACGCAAGATAGGGAGACCGCGGTGGACACGCGCAGAGACAAGCCACGGGATAAGTGCCAGGCACATCGGCCTTCCGCTCCAGGGGAAACACCGTAGTGTAGCGCGTGTAGTCGTCGACAAGCACTAGGAAGTAGTGCTCTCGACGCGGCCCATGGACGGGGGCGGGGCCCCAGACGTCCATGTGCAGGGTCTGTAGCGCTGCGGCGATGGGGGGGAGCGAGGAGGAGTGAGGGGCATGGTGGAGCCGGCCCTCGACGCAAGGTGTGCACGGTGGCGCTGGGGAGGAGGGCAACTCGGGGAACGACCCTGGGAGACCTAGGACAAGACCGTGCTGAGACATGTGACATAGACGCGGGAGCGCAGGGTGACCTAGACAGTGGTGCCACAGGAGTGTCGGGTAAGTAAGCGACCGACACGAGCAGGCCGCAGCAAACTGGGTAGACGCAGCCACCTGGGGAGACGTCCCAACCGAGGGGGGCGCGGTGTCCAGTGTGAACAGGCCAGACACCGGGTCCCGAGGGAATGTAGTGAGGGGAGCACCAGTGGCGGCCTCGGTATAGACATCAAACCGCTCATGACCAGGGAACATAGTGGTGACGCCAAGGTCCTGGAGGCAGCCGACACCAACTAGGTTCCTGGAGAACGAGGGGATGTGCAGGCATGTAAGAGAGCCCGAAGAAGCCGCCGGACAAGGAAGGGTGGTGGAACTAAGGGCGACTACCGAACCGGAGGAGGGGTTGGCAAGGGAAACAGCGGCGGGGGCAGCAAGCGGCGTCAGCGTAGTGGAGTCGCGGAAGAAGCACCGGGAAGCGCCAGAGTCCAGGGTGAAGGAGAGCGCAGCAGTGGCGGCCGCAGTCGGCACATCGAGGGAAGAACCAAGACTAAACAAGGTAGGGGTTCCTACGCCTGACGCAGCAGGGGAGTCGAGACTACACACACATACACTACGAAACAAGGGGTAGTAAGAAGCAGTCACACTAGAGCCATCAACAGACTGCACATACAAAGCAGAGCTAATCTCATCCATGTCCATATCAAAGCTCCGAACACTACGGCGAAGCAAGTTGTGCCAGTCGGGGATGTTGGTGCAACCCTATGGCTTGCACTCGGCTTGTCGTCCTTGTTTGTGTGTGTGCATGCATGGCATAGAATGACTTGTGAGTCTATGTCATTGCTATCTAGTGCTTGTGTGTGTGTTTGAATGGTGTATCACAATGTGGTTTGTGTCGGTCAAGACATTAGTGAGTTTCACAAATTGCATGTCAAGTCGTCGTTTGCGCGTCGCATGTGCTTTCTCTATTTTGTCGAGTGTGAAGTGTCCATCTCATCGTAGGTGTGTGCAGCAAGCCCTCATCATCTCAAGAAGAACTGATCTTGCTGAACCAAGACCAAGAGCTCAAGATTTCAAGCCCAAGGGACGTGGACAAATATTAAAATAGTGAAAATAGTAATGCTACTTCAAGTAGTGTTACATTTCACTTGGTGTAGCCCCTTGTTGGGTTTGTTTCGGGTCTCCTCATGGTTGGGGACTCTATGGTGGTGAACCACCAACTTGGACCTCGGCTCTTGGGGTATGTAGAGGCTGGGAACCATCCCTACCTCGAATTCTTCTTGTTAAGATTGTACTGCCAAGACTATAGTGGCTGCTATACCTCTTGCCAGTCAAACCGCCATAGCGTCGTCAAATCTTCATGGAATTTCATGATTCAACTTGTTGCTAATAAACGACAGCAGCGCGCTCCAGATTCAACTTACAGATCACTGTTTGATTCACAGATAACATCGCTATCAATATTTGAAGCCGTCTGACGGAAATCCAACTGTGCTCTCCATCTCTCATTTTAGGCACATCTGAGCCTATTGTGGATATAACAAGTGGTATCAGAGCCCCTTGGAGCCGTCTCGACCATACATAGACCTGAGGAAGGGGGTGCCAGAGGTGCTGGAGGCAGAGAAGACGCCCAAGCACAAGGTCAACACCAAGATCCACCTGTTGCTCCGGTTAAAACGCAACTGGAGAGGTGCGACGGGTGGGTGGGGTTCAGAACCCAACTGCAAAGCTAAGACGCGTGAATGGTGTTCAGAACCCAACTCCAGAGGTGAGACGAGTGAGTGGGTTTCAAAACCCAACTGTAGAGGTGAGACGGGTAAGTGGAGTTCAGAACCCAACTACAGAAGCGAGACGGGTGAGTGGGGATCAAAACCCAATGGTGGAGGTGACACAGGTTAGAGGGGTAAGAACCCAACTTAGGGGTTCAAAACGCAACTGCAGAGGTGCGACGGGTGAGTGGGGTTCAGAACCCAACTGCAGAGGTGAGACGAAAGAGTGGCTTTCAAAACCCAACAATAGAGGTGAGACGGGTTAGTGGGGTTCAGAACCCAACTGAAGAGGTGAGAGGGGTGAGTGGGGTTCAGAATCCAGCAGTAGAGGTTAAATGGGTGAGTGGCGTTCAGAAACCAATAGAAGAAGTGAAACGGGTGACTGGGGTTCAGAACCGAACTGCAGAGGTGAGACGAGTGAGTGGAGTTCAGAACCCAACTGCAGAGGTGAGATGGGTGGGTGGGGTTCAGAACCCAACTGCAGAGGTGAGACGGGTGAGTGGGGTTCAGAACTCAACAGGAGAGGTGAAACGGGTGAGTGGGGTTCAGGACCCAACTGGAGAGGTGAGACGGGTGAGTGGGGTTCAGAACCCAGCAGCATAAGTGTGACAGGTTAGTGGCCTTCAGAACCCAGCAGTAGAGCTGAGATGGGTGAGTGGGGTTTGGAACCCAACAGAAGAGGTGAGACGGAAAAATGGGGTTCAGAGCCCAACTGTAGAAGTGAGACATGTGAGTGGGGTTAAGAACCCAACTGGAGAGTTGAGACGGGTGAGTGGGGTTTGGAACTCAACAGTAGAGGTGAGATTGGTGAGTGGGGTTCTGAACCCAACTATAGAGCTGAGACGAGTGAGTGGGGTTCAGAACCCAACCTTAGAGGTGAGACGGGTTAGTGGGGTTCATAACCCAATAGTCGTGGTGAGATGAGTGAGTGGGGTTCAAAACCCAACTACAGAGGTGATCCGGGTTGGTGGGGTTTGGAAGCCCAATGTAGAGGTGAGACGGGAAAGTGGGGTTCAAAACCCAAAAGTAGAGGTAAGATGGGTGAGTGAGGTTTTGAACCCAGCTGGAGTGGTGAGATGGGTGAGTGGGGTTCAAAAGCCAACTGCAGAGGTGCGACGGGTGAGTGGGCTTCATAACCCAAATGCAGAAGTGAGACGGGTGAGTGGGGTTCAGAACCCAACTGTAGAGGTGAGACGGGTGTGTGGGGTTCGGAACCCAGCTGCAGAGGTGAGATGGGTGAGTGGTGTTCAGAACCCAACTGCAGAGGTGAGACGAGTGAGTGGGTTTCAAAACCCAACTATAGAGGTGAGACGGGTGAGTGGGGTTTAGAACCCAACTGCACTGTTTACAAGGGAGAGTGGGGTTCAGAACCCACCAGGAGAGGTGAGATGGGTGAGTGGTGTTCAGGACCCAACCGGATAGGTGGGACAGATGATGGGGGTTTAAAACCATACTGTAGAGTTGAGACAGGTTAGTGGGGTTGAGATCCCAACTATTGAAGTGAAACGGGTGAGTGAGGTTCAGAATATAGCTGTAGGGGTGAGACAGGTTGGTGAGTTTCAGAACCCAACTGCAAAGGTGAGATGATTGAGTGGGGTTCAAAACCCAACATCAGAGGTGAGACGGGTGAGAAGGGTTCAGAATCCAACTGCCGAGGTGAGACGGGTGAGTGGGGTCTAGAATCCAACTGCAGTGGTGAAGCGGGTGAGTCGGGTTCAGAATCCAACTGTAGAGCTGAGATAGGTGAGTGAGGTTCAAAACTCACCTGTAGAGGTGAGGCGGGTGAGTGTGGTTCAGAACCCATTTGTAGAGGTGAGACGGGTTATTGGTGTTCAAAACCCAACTGTAGACGTAAAACAGGTGAGTGGAGTTCCGAACCCAACTGCTGAGGTGAGACGGGTGAGTAGGGTTCAGAACTCAAATGTTGAGGTGGGACGAGAAGGGGGGGTTCAAACTCCAACTGCGGAGGTTACACAAGAGTGGGGTTCAGAACCCAGCTACAGAGGTGAGATGGGTGAGTGGGGTTTAGAACCCAACTGTTGAGGTGAGGCATGTGAGTGGGGTTCAGAACCCAACTTTAGAGTGAGACGAGTGAGTGGCGTTCAGAACTCAAATGTTGAGGTGAGATGGGTGTGTTGGGTTCAGAACCCATCAGTAAAGGTGAGACCAGTGAGGGGTTTAGAACCCAATTGTTGAGGTGAGACGGGTAAGTGGGGTACAGAACCCAACTGCAGAGGTGAGACGAGTGAGTGGAGTTCAAAACCCGACTGCAGAGGTGAGACGGGTGAGTGGGGTTTAGAACCCAACTGTAGAGTGAGGTGTGTGAGTGGGGTTCAGATCCCAACTGCAGAGGTGATAGAGGTGAGTGGGGTTCAGAACCCAACTGCAGAGGTGAGATGAGTCAGTGGGGTTCAAGACCTGACTGTAGACGTGAGGTGGGTGAGTAGGTTTCAGAACCGGGTGAGACGGGTGAGTAGGTTTCAGAACTGGGTGAGACGGGTGAGTGGGGTTCAGAACCCAACAGTAGAGGTAAGATGGGTTTGTGGGGTTCAGAACCCAACTGTAGAGGTGAGATGGGTGAGTGGGGTTCACAACCCAACTGCGTAGGAGGGACGGGTGAGTGGGGTTCATAACCCAACTGTAGAAGTGAAACGTTTGAGTGGGGTTCATAACCCAACAGTCGAGGTGAGATGGGTTAGTGGGGTTCACAACCCAACTATTGAGGTGAGAAGGTGAGTGGGGTTCAGAACCCAACTAAAGGGGTGAGATGGGTGAGTTGCCTACAAATCCCAACTGCAGAGGTGTGACGGGAGACTGGGGTTCACAACACAACTGCAGAGGTGGGACGGGTGAGTGGAGTTCCGAACACAACTGCAGAACTTAAACGGGTAAGTGGGGTTCAGAACCAAACAGTAGAGGTGAGACGAGTTGTTGGGGTTAAGAACCCAACTATTATGGTGAGACGGGTGAGTGGGGTTCAGAACCCAACTTCAGAGGTGAGAGCGGCGAGTGGGGTTGAGAATCCAACACGAGAGGTGAGACAGGTGAGTGGGGTATAGAACCCAACAGTAGAGGTGCAACAAGTTAGTGGGGTTCAGAACTCAACTGGAGAGGTGCAACGGGTGAGTGGGGATCGGAACCCAACCGCAGAGGTGAGACAGGTGAGGCGTTCAGAATCCAACTGCAGAAGTGAGGCTTGTGAGTGGGGTTTAGAACTCAAAACTAGAGGTGCGATGGGTTAGTAGGTTTCTGAACCCAAGTGTTGGGGTTAAACAGGTGAGTGGGGTTCAGAACCCAACTATAGAGGTGAAACGGGTTTGTGGGGTTCAGAACCCAACTGTTGAGGTGAGACGAGTGAGTGGGGTTCAGAACCCAGCTTTAGAGGTGAGACTGGTGCGTGGGGTTCAAAACCCAACTGCAGAGGTGAGATGGGTGAGTGGGGTTCAGAACACAATGCAGAGGTGAGAGGGGTGAATGGGGTTGAGAACCCAAAAGGAGAGGTGAGACGGGTTCGTGGGGTTAAGAAGGCATCTGAAGAGTTTAGATAGGTTAGTGGGGTTCAGAATCCAACTGCAGAGGTGAGACAGGTGATTGGGGATTAGAACCCAACAGTAGAGGTGAGACGACGGGTTAGTGGGGTTCAGAACCCAACTGCAGAGGTGAGAGGGGTGAGTGGGGTTGAGAACCCAACACGAGAGGTGAGACAGGTGAGTGGGGTATAGAACCCAACAGTAGAGGTACGACAAGTTAGTGGGGTTCAGAACTCAACTGGAGAGGTGCAACGGGTGAGTGGGGATCGGAACCCAACCGCAGAGGTGAGACAGGTGAGGGGTTCAGAATCCAACTGCAGAAGTGACGCTTGTGAGTGGGGTTTAGAACTCAACACTAGAGGTGCGATGGGTTAGTAGGTTTCTGAACCCAAGTGTTGGGGTTAAACAGGTGAGTGGGGTTCAGAACCCAACTATAGAGGTGAAACGGGTTTGTGGGGTTCAGAACACAACTGTTGAGGTGAGACGGGTGAGTGGGGTTCAGAACCCAGCTTTAGAGGTGAGACTGGTGCGTGGGGTTCAAAACCCAACTGCAGAGGTGAGATGGGTGTGTGGGTTTCAGAACACAACTGCAGAGGTGAGAGGGGTGAATGGGGTTGAGAACCCAAAAGGAGAGGTGAGACGGGTTCGTGGGGTTAAGAAGGCATCTGAAGAGTTTAGATAGGTTAGTGGGGTTCAGAATCCAACTGCAGAGGTGAGACAGGTGATTGGGGATTAGAACCCAACAGTAGAGGTGAGACGACGGGTTAGTGGGGTTCAGAACCCAACTGCAGAGGTGAGAGGGGTGAGTGGGGTTGAGAACCCAACACGAGAGGTGAGACAGGTGAGTGGGGTATAGAACCCAACAGTAGAGGTACGACAAGTTAGTGGGGTTCAGAACTCAACTGGAGAGGTGCAACGGGTGAGTGGGGATCGGAACCCAAGCGCAGAGTTGAGACAGGTGAGGGGTTCAGAATCCAACTGCAGAAGTGAGGCTTGTGAGTGGGGTTTAGAACTCAACACTAGAGGTGCGATGGTTTAGTGGGTTTCTGAACCCAAGTGTTGGGGTTAAACAGGTGAGTGGGGTTCAGAACCCAACTATAGAGGTGAAACGAGTTTGTGTTTTCAGAACCCAACTGTTTAGGTGAGACGGGTGAGTGGGGTTCAGAACCCAACTTTAGAGGTGAGATTGGTGCGTGGGGTTCAAAACCCAACTGCAGAGGTGAGATGGGTGAGTGGGGTTCAGAACACAACTGCAGAGGTGAGAGGGGTGAGTGGGGTTGAGAACCCAAAAGAAGAGGTGAGACGGGTTCGTGGGGTTAAGAAGGCATCTGAAGAGGTGAGATAGGTTAGTGGGGTTCAGAACCCAACTGCAGAGGTGAGACGGGTGACAGGGGATTAGAACCCAACAGTAGAGGTGAGACGACGGGTTCGTGGGGTTCAGAACCCAACTGTAGAGGTGAGACGGGTGAGTAGGGTTCAGAACCCAACTATAGGGGTGAGTTGGGTGAGTGGGGTTCATAACCGAGAGACAGAGGTGAGACGAGTGAGTGGGGTTCAGAACCCAGCTGCAGAGGTGAGACGGGTGGGTGGGGTTCAGAACCCAACTGAAGAGATGAGACAGGTGAGTGCGACTCAGAACCCAACTGGAGAGGTGAGACGGGTGAGTGGGGTTCAGAACCCAGCAGTAGAGGTGAGACGTGTTAATGGGGTTCAAAACCCAAGTGTAGAGCTGAGACGGATGAGTCGGGTTCAGAACCCAATAGTAGAGGTGAGACGGGTAAATGGGGTTCGGAACCCAACTGTAGAGGCGAGACATGTGAGTGGGGTTCAGAACCCAACTGCAGAGTAGAGACGTGTGAGTGGGGTTTAGAACGCAACTGCAGAGGTCAAACAGGCTATTTGGGTTCAGAACCCAACTATTGAGGTGAGGTGGCTGAGTGGGCTTCAGAATCCAACAGTAGAGGTGAGATGGGTAAGTGGGGTTCAGGACCCAACAATTGAGGTGAGACGGGTTAGTGGGGTTCAGAACCCAACTGTAGAGCTGAGACGGGCAAGTGGGGTTCAGAACCCAACAGAAGAGGTGAAACGGGTGAGTGGGGTTCAGGACCCAACTGGAGAGGTGAGACGGGTGTGTGAGGTTCAGAACCCAGCAGTAGAGGTGAGACGGGTTAGTGGGGTTCAGAACCCAACTGTAGAGCTGAGACGGATGAGTGGGGCTCGGAACCCAACAAAAGAGGTGTGACGAGAAAATAGGGTTCAGAACCCAACTGTAGAGGTGAGACGTGTGAGTGGGGTTAAGAACCCAACTTGAGAGATGAGACGGGTGAGTGGGGTTCGGATTCCAACAGTAGAGGTGAGATAGGTGAGTGGGGTTCAGAACCTAACTACAGAGGTGAGACGCGTGAGTGGGGTTCAGAACCCAACTAGAGAGGTGAGATGGGTGAGTGGGGTTCAAGACCCAACTGGAGAGGTGAGACGGGTGAGTGGGGTTCAGAACCCAGCAGTAGAGGTGAGGCAGGTTACTGGGGTTCAGAACCAAACTATAGAGCTGAGACGGATGAGAGGGGTTCAGAACCCAACTGGAGAGATGAGAGGGGTGAGTATGGTTCCGAACCCAACTGCAGAGTAGAGATGGGTGAGTGGGGTTTAGAACCACACTGCAGAGGTGAGACATGCTATTTGGGTTGAGAACCCAACTGGAGAAATGAGACGGGTGAGTGGGGTTCAAGACCCAACTTGAGAGGTGAGATGGATGAGTTAGATTCCGAAGCCGACAGCAGAGGTGGGAGGGGTGAGTCGGCTTCAGAATCCAACAGCAGAGGTGAGATGGGTATGTGGGGTTCAGAACCCAACTATAAAGGTGAGATGGATGAGAGGGGTTTAGAACCCAACAATAGAGGTGAGACGGGTGAGTGAGGTTCAGAACCCAACAGTAGAGGTGAGACGGGTGAGTGGGGTTCAGAGCCCAATAGTAGAGGTGAGACAAGTGAGTTGGGTTCAGAACCCAACTGCAGAAGTGAGATGGGTAAGTTGGGTTTAGAACTCGACTGTAGAGGTGAGACGAGTGGGTGGGGTTCGGAACCCAACTAAAGGTGTGAGACAGGTGAGTGAGCTTCCCAAAACAACACTAGAGGTGAGACGAGCTATTGGGGTTAAGAACCCAACTATAGAGGTGAGACGGGTGAGTGGGGATCAAAACCGAACTGGAGAGGTGAGACGGGATTGTGGGGATCAGAACCCAACTGCTGAGGTGAGGCGGATGAGTGGGGCTTTGAACCTAACTGCTGAGGTGAGACGGGTTATTGGGTTTCAGAACCCAATTGCAGAGGTGAGATGGGTGGGTGGGGTTCAGAACCCAACTGCAGAGGTGAGACATGTGGGTGGGGTTCAAAACCCAGCAATAGAGGTGAGAAGGGTGAGTGTGGTTCAGAACCCAACTAGAGAGGTGAGACGGGTGAGTGGGGTTCAGAACCCAACTGCAGAGGTGAGACGGGTGGGTGGGGTTCAAAACCGAACTGGAGAGGTGAGACGGGTTAGTGGGGATCAGAACCCAACTGCTGAGGTGAGACGGGTGAGTGGGGTTCAAAACGCAACTTGAGGGGTGAGATGGGTGAGTGGGGTTCAGAACCCAACTGCAGAGGTGAGACTCGTGGGTGGGGATCAGGACCCAACTGGAGAGGTAAGACGGGTGAGTGGTTTTCATAATCCAACAGTAGAGGTGAGATGGGTTAGTGGGGTTTAGATCCCAACTGTAGAGGTGAGACGGATGAGTGGGGTTCAAAACCCAACCATAGAGGTGAGATGGCTTAGTGGGGTTCAGAACCCAACAGCAGAGGTGAGACGAGCAAGTGGGGTTCAGAACCCAACTGGAGAGGTGAGACGAGTAAGTGGGGTTCAGGACCCAAATGGAGAGGTGAGACAAGTGAGTGGCGTTCAGAACCCAACTGCAGAGGTGAGACTTGTGGGTGGGGTTCAAAACCCAGCTGTAGAGGTGAGACGGGTGAGTGGGGTTCAAAACGCAACTGGAGAGGTGAGACGGGTGAGTGGGGTTCAGAACCCAACTGCAGAGGTGAGATTGGTTTAGGGGGTTCAGAACCCAACTGCAGAGGTGAGACGGGTGAGTGGGGTTCAGAACCCCATTGCAGATGTGAGATGGGTGAGTGGGGTTCGGGACCCAACTGGAGAGGTAAGACGGGTGAGTGGGGTTCAGAATCCAACAGTACAGGTGAGATGGGTTTAGAACCCAACTGTAGAGGTGAGACGGATGAGTGGAGTTCAAAACTTAACCATAGAGGTGAGACGGGTTAGTGGGGTTCAGAACCCAACTGTAGCGGTGAGACGGGAGAGTGGGGTTCAGAACCCAGCAGTAGAGGTTAAACAGGTGAGTGGGTTTTTGAACCCAACAGTAGAAGTGAAATGGGTGAGTGGGGTTCAGATCCCAACAGGAGAGGTGAGACGGGGTGAATGAGGTTCAGAACCCAACAGTAGAGGTGAGACGGATAAATGGGGTTCAGAATCCAATTGTAGAGATGAGACGGGTGAGTGGGGTTCATAACCCAATGGGAGAGGTGAGACGGGTGAGTGGGGTTCTGAACCCAACTAGAGAAGTGAGACAGGTGAGTTGGGTTCAGAACCCAACTGCAGAGGGCAGACGGCTGAGTGGGGTTCAGAATCCAACAGTAGAAGTGAGATGGGTAAGTGGGGTTTAGAACCCAACTGTAGAGGTGAAACGGATGAGTGGGGTTCAAAACCCAACCATAGAGGTGAGACGGGTTAGTGGGGTTCAGAACCTAGCAGTAGAGGTTAAACGGGTGAGTGGGGTTCAGAACCCAACTTGAGAGGTGAGATGAGTAAGTGGGGTTCACGACCCAATTGGAGAGGTGAGACGAGTGAGTGGCGTTCAGAACCCAACTGCAGAGGTGAGACGTGTGGGTGGGATTCAAAATCCAGCTGTAGAGGTGAGACGGGTGAGTGGGGTTCAGAACCGAGCAGTAGAGGTCAGACGGGTGAGTGGGGTTCAGAAGCCAAATATAGAGGTGAGACGGGTGAGTGGTGTTAGAAGCCAACTGCAGAAGTGAGACGGGTGTGTGGGGTTCGGATCCCAACTGCAGAAGTGAGACGGGTGAGTTGGTTTCAGAACCCAGCTGTAGAGATGAGACGGGTGGGTGGGGCTCGGAACCCAACTATAGTGGTGAGATAGGTGAGTGGTGTTCAGAACCGAAATGGAGAGGTGAGACTGGCGAATGGGGAGCAGACCCCAACTGCCGAGGTGAGACAGGTTAGTGGGGTTTTGAACCCAACTGCAAAGGTGAGACGGGTTAGTGGGGTTCAGAACCCAACTATTGGGTTGAGACGGGTGAGTGGGGTTTAGGACCTAGCAAGAGAGGTGAGACAGGTGAGTGGGGTTATGAACCCAACTGTAGAGGTGAGACGCGTAAGTGGGGTTCAGAACCCAGCAGTAGGGGTGAGACGGGTGAGTGGAGATAAGAACCCAACAATAGAGGTTATACATGTGAGTGGAGTTCAGAACCCAACTGCAGAGATGAGACAGATGAGTGGGGTTAAGAACCCAACTGTAGAGGTGAGACGGGTGAGTGGCTTTTCGACCGGTGCGCTTTTCGACCGGTGCACTTTTCGACCGGTGCGCTTCTCGACCGGTTTGCTTTTCGACCAGTGCGCTTTTCGACCGGTGCGCTTTTCAAACCAGGTGCCGATTTCGACTGGTGCGCTTTTCGAACAGTGTGCTTTTCGACTGGGTGCCGATTTTGACCGGTGCGCTTTTCCACCGTTGCCCTTTTCGACAGGTGCGCTTTTCGATCGGTGCGCTCTTCGACCGTTGCCCTTTTCGACAGGTGCGCTTTTCGATCGGTGCCCCTTTCGACCGGTGCCCTTTACGACCCGTGCGCTTTTCAACCGGTGCGATTTTCAGCCGGTGCGCTTTTCGATCGGTGCCCCTTTCGACCGGTGCCATTTAAGACCGTTTCGCTTTTCGACCGGTGCCCTTTTCGACCGGTGCCCTTTTCGACCGGTGCCCTTTTCGACCGGTGCCCTTTTCGATCCGTGCCCTTTTCGAGTGGTGCGCTTTTCGACCGGTGCGCTTCTCGACCGGTGCGCTTCTCGACCGGTGCACTTCTCGACCGGTGCGCTTTTCCACCGGTGTGCTTTTCGACCCGTGCGCTTTTCGACCGGTATTCTTTTCAACCGGTGCTCTTTTCGACCGGTGCGCTTTTCGACCAGTGCGCTTTTCGACTGGTGCCCATTTCGACGGATGCCCTTTTCGACCGGTGCCCTTTTCGACCGGTGCCCTTTTCGACCGGTGCCCTTTTCCACCGGTGCCCTTTTCGACTGGTGCCCTTTTTGACCGGTGCCCTTTTCGACCGGTGCTCTTTTCGACCGGTAAGCTGTTCGACCGGTGCGCTTTTTGACAGGTGCGATTTTCGGCCGGTGCGATTTTCGGCCAGTGCGCTTTTCGGCCGGTGCGCTTTTCGGCCGATGTGCTTTTCGACCGGTGCGCTTTTCCACCGGTGCGCTTTTCGACCGGTGCGCTTTTCGACCGGTGCCATTTTTGACCGGTGTGCTTTTCGAGTGGGTGCCGATTTCGACCGGTGCGCTTTTCGAACAGTGCGCATTTCGACCGGTGCGCCTTTCGAACAGTGCCCTTTTCGACCGGTGCGCTTTTCGACTGGTGCCCTTTACGACCGGTGCCCTTTTCGATCCGTGCCCTTTTCGAGTGGTGCGTTTTTTGAGTGGTGCGTTTTTCGACCGGTGCACTTTTCGACCGGTGCCCTTTTCAACCGGTGCCCTTTTCGATCCGTGCCCTTTTCGAGTGGTGCGCTTTTCGACCGGTGCGCTTCTCGACCGGTGCGCTTCTCGACCGGTGCGCTTCTCGACCGGTGCGCTTCTCGACCGGTGCGCTTTTCCACGGGTGCGCTTTTCGACCCGTGCGTTTTTCGACCGGTATTCTTTTCGACCGGTGCTCTTTTCGACCTGTTCGCTTTTCGACCGGTGCGCTTTTCGACTGGTGCCCTTTTCGACGGGTGCCCTTTTCGACCGGTGCCCTTTTCGACGGGTGCCCTTTTCGACCGGTGCCCTTTTCGACCGGTGCCCTTTTCGACCGGTGCTCTTTTCGACCGGTGCGCTGTTCGACCGGTGCGCTTTTCGACCGGTGGGATTTTCGGCCGGTGCGATTTTCGGTTCGACCGGTGCGCTTTTCCGCCGGTGCGCTTTTCGACCGGT